CTGAGATTGATGAGGCATAATTTTGGAACTGAAGAGAGAACATATCAAATTTAAATCACACGGCTTTTCTTTAAACAAGAAAAAACATGGATACACAATGAGAAACGAAGCTTGGATTTTGCTTCGATTTCAGGTTTCAAAATCAACTTGAAGCTTCAAAAATTTTGAACTTGTGGTGTAGGCTACATATATCATTTGTTTACTTTTATTGGATGATCGTTGATATCATATTGATGTGATTTCTTGTCTCTTAATATTACCTGTTAGGTAAGGAATTAACTTTCAGTGGCAGCTTTTAATCCGTTGTATTAATTTAATTATGATAGTGCTTAATGTTGTAAATGTTTCTTGAAGAATGAGGATTATTCTTTCTTTCACTGTTTTTGATTCTCATATACATGTTTTCACTTTTTCATACCATGATAAAGATGGTTACCAGTTTTCACTGTTTTTTATTCCCATATACATGTTTTCACTTTCTCAATATATTCTATGATTTCCGACTGATAGAAACTGTAAAGCTAAATGCAACATCTAGAAGCTGATTCTGCAAAAAGGTTTATTGCAACACTGATTTTAATGAAGATGTAAACCTACACTGCTTATACTTAGTTAACAACTGAATGAATAAGTTGATGTAAAGGCTTCATCCAGAACACCTATAATGTTAGAGCTTGAAGCTACTTTTCGTTATAACAGAAGCGTTATAACTTAACCACAATTTATTTTAAATTTTTAAAGAAAAACATACAAACTAACCTACAAGAGCTTTTTATTGTGGTATTTATATACATACACAGTTGTTGAGCAAGAAGATCTTACATTTGTATAGATATACACAGTTGTTTTATTTTAAATTTGTTAATGTTAGTCTTGTACTTATGTTTGATTTGCATTTGTGTTTGTTAATTCAGGATTTTTATTTCTCCTAACCAATGAATACTATATTTGTGGACCCTTTGTTTGGCATTTCTCTACTGTTTTTTTCTTGAGTATTTTCCATTAAGAGAGTTTTAGGGAACATTAACCAGGTTTGTTTCTTTGAACCTTCTTTTTTTGAATAATTTGAACTTTAGCTTTGAAATATTTTCAGGGTTTAATCTTATACTTTTTATATTGGTTGTTTATATGTATTTATACTCTGGTTTCTCACGATTTCTTAATTTGTTTCATGAAATTACAAATCAAGTCCCCCCAAGATAGACAAATATCGATAAACCCTAATCTTTATGGTTAAAACAATAGAATAATGGCTAACTTGAAAGCGGAAAATTTGAAAGCGGAAAATGAAGCAAGGGAAGCAGAGAGAGCAGCAGTGGAAGCAGAGAAAGAAGCAGCGGCAACACAGAGATAAGCAACATATCAACAGAGATGTGAAGAATTTGAAAAACGACTCAATGATATGATGCTAATGATACAGAAAACGCAACCTCAGAATCCACCATCGTAGTCTCAATTATGTATGTTATGAGCATTCTGTTAATGTTATTGAAACTTGTTTAACTGAACTTATATTATGTTAATGAAAATTTATATTTATTATATTGGATTTGATGTTGTTTGTTATGGATATAGAGTTTAATGTTATAGTTGTTTTGTTTGTTGGATAATGGAACATGTTGAAAAAATAGATTTGGGGTAATCAAGCATTATTTTTATAATTGAAAAATCATGTGTTATTTAGCGGCGTTTGCAAACTAGAAATGCTGCAATATACTAAACATTTAGCGGCGTTTGTATACTAGAAACGCCGCAATATACCATGCATTTAGCGGCGTTTTTGCACTAGAAACGCCGCTAATTCTCAACCCTTATTGCGTCATTTTCGATAAAAACGCCGTTAAAAAACATAACTTACTGCGGCATTTTTGGGAAAAACGTCGCAAAATATCAAAACCTATTGCGGCGGTTTTAAGTAAAACGCCGCTACATCTCAAAACCATTTGCGACGTTTTTAGAAAAAACGCCGTTAAACATCAACGCCTATTGCGGCGTTTTTCTGACAAACGCCGCTAAATAACAAATCCTATTACGGCGTTTGTTCAGAAAACGCCGCTATATGTTGTAACCTATTGTGGCGTTTTTTAAAAAGAACGTCGTTAACTTTAGCGGCGCTATTTTCAGCGGCGCTTTTTGCGGCGTTTGTCATAACGCCGTATGTGTTTTTAGCGGCGCTTAAAAACGCCGCTATAGGTAAAAAAAAACGCCGCAAAATACATGTTTTGCTGTAGTAAATTAAGATACCAACATAATTACTAACACGTTTAATTGCATATGTTGATAAAATACAATTAAGCTAAAGAAACACAACTTGTTACGACTTATCCCCACGTCATCTTTTTGTTTTCCAACACGTTCCTCATTCGTATAAAACAATGGCGGTGGAAGATGTTGAGTTGAGGAAAAATAAGAGGAAATGACAGGGAAATACATACAGAGAAATTAACGACAAAAGACAAATCTAGTTTCCTCATCTCTCATCAAAACTTGCAACATTCAACAGCCTTGAAATTATACAATGTCACAGCTGCCTTTTATTTTTCTAACTTCAGTTATATAAAGTTGAAACTAATTATCTCGTGCACGCAATTTCAGACATTATTATTAGTTATTACTTCTCGTGACGATGATAATTTCATCAGAGCCATGCATCCTATCACACCATTTGAAAGAATGCCAATTATACTACCACCATTAGTTAGGCGGCTTGAATGTATCACATTCTTATTTCTTAATGTTAATTAATTTATACAAATTACTGAGAATATTATATTACTAATATACAATTAAGATGAACAAATCCAATGGAACAAGGAGAAGTGATTAATTCAATAACGAATAAGTCCCTTCCCCTTCACCTTCACCTTATTTTAATGGTGTATATAGTACTCTTTATGATGCAAATCTCTAAATTGGTAAAATAAAAAACAAGTTTCCCCTTTGCGCAAGTACATATAGAAAAATGAGCCAAGTACAGCATGGAAATATCCTTGAAAAGAAAATGCAAACAAGCAAGTTCACACATGATAAAAGTCCGTTGAATGCATTAAAGAGGAGAGAACTGGCGGGTTCACATGGAAGGATGCGGGGGTGTGAGGGATTCCAAAATGCAAGCTCTAAGTTGAAAGAAATAATGAAACGGTATGAGAAATTGTACGGTGGATGAGGTACGGTGCCAACCACGAAGTTCCATGGAACACGACAGGACAGGACTGGATAATATATGTCAATCCAACGGGATGGGATGGGATGGGCAGCACGGTCCTAAAGTCAACAATCGTATCTCGCTCCTCCAATAAATAAACAACTCAACATCTTCTTCATTGGACAAATTTGACCGCTAACTCGGAACAACCGATATAGAAAAATAATGATAATCTCAGGCACAATCAGTGTTTTAAAAATCGGATCGGTCGATTCAACCGGTTTAATTGAGAAACGTTATTTGGTCTGGTTCATTCTATACCGGTTAAACTGCTACTAGTTAATCAAAAAGAATTGTTGAACCGGCTGTGAACATTTCGAACCGGACCGGACAATGAACCGGTTGAAAACAGATTTTGTTTTTTTTTTCTAAAAAAAATTAAATCAAACAACGTCGTTTGTTAAACGAGCTGAGTCGAACTCGAGTATTACTGAGCTCGACTCGAACTCGAAAACTTTAAAAGTAAGCTCCACTCGACTCAAAAACTCACGAGCTAAAAATTATCAACTTCAACTCGAACTTGAAATATAATATTGAAACTTGAACTCAAAAAGGCTCGAACTCAAAAAAAAATTAGAAGCTCGATTGAAGCCTGAAATTCGAGCTCGATTGAAGCGAAAGAATAATTCGCTCTGTGCTCACCAAAAGGCTCCATGATTTTGAATGTCTAATTGTCTCTATTATTTATAGAAGTCAGTTGAGATGCTCTTCTATGTTTCTTAGCCACGTGAGATTGTTTTGTTATCATATGTTTACTCTTTAGACTTTTGTGATGCTCTTCTATGTTTCTTAGCCATATGAGATTTATTTTAAAAAAAATTAAACTAAACGACATCGTTTGTTATGATTTTTTTAGCCCTAAATTTATTTTTTTATTATAATTATATAATTATATTTATTATTTAATATGTTTTACCTTAAATATTATGTTGTAGTTGATTTGAATCATTGTTTCACTTGATTTTATGGTTTTTAACTTATATAGGTTATAACTAGCTTTGAATATGACTTGTGATATAAAAAACTATTTTTTATTAAATGTTTTTTTATATTTTTATTTAATTTTTTTAAATAATTAATTAATTATGACGTCGTCCGATTTTTCCGACCTATCTAATTTATTTGATCGGTTAAATCAATGAACTGACGATTAATTTCCTATTTACTGACCGATCCGATTCTGAAAACCATGGGCACAAGTTGTTGCCTGCGAATCTCGTGCTAAAGGACACTGTCTCGGTTGTCCTCGGTGCAAATGGAGAAATCATTAGATGGTCCACTCATTACGTCATTTGTGTCTTAGTCAATAATATTTAAATATATATATATATTTTGTGATGAATTTTCACATCTTTATTATATTTAAATAAAAAATGAGTAATTATTTAAAATTTACGACTCTAGTTAATTAGACTATGAATAACGTGATAGCCGAATTCATCAAATAATTTTTAACGCAAATGATTTACGTGTTAAACGGTGGGGATGTACTTGACTGTTTAAAACAAAATTGAATAATATTCCACGTAGATTCAGAGAATTATTCCTTTTTGTTTTTCTTATGGGAATTATACTTGCATTCTTTTTCTGCTCTTCAAGATTAATCTTTTGTTTTCTTGTAAATATTGCATTCCATCTTGTGGTGAAAATTAAAACACGAGTTAAAAAATTGGATCAAACAAGATGAGCATTACGCATTGGAAAATGAATTTATACTCATGCTTTTCGGTGTACTTGAGAAATCTGAATCGGATTTATTCCACAGAAACAACAATAACAAAAGAATCAAGTTTGTGTACATGACCTAACACCTCCCGTCCTCCCCAACAACAAGGTACAAAGAAAACATATAAACATGTAATCCGCATCTCATCCACAATTAAACAACACTAAAAACAAAAGGAAGGGGAAAATGGGTATAACAAAAAAGTTGTTTCTAGTAAATTCCCGGTGGGAAACCCTACTGATCTATTGTCTGCTGCTAAGCTTCTGGTGATGGCATTACTTTTTATTGCTGTTGGAGGTGTTGCTACTACTGTTATTGGGGTGAGAACCACCAATGATGGAGGTGATGGCAGCTGCGAGGGCGGCAGTGAAGCTGGGATCATTGGTGATGGCAGCCGTGGCGGCGCTTACTTTGTCAACCAGGGTGGGATGTTGAGGCTGCAGTTGCGGATGAGGAACTTGGTGGCCTAACTGCGAAGACAACTGCAGGCCTGAGAATTTTGACTGATTATACGGTGCTTGGTAAAAAACTTGAGGCAATTGAGAGGCTTCGAATTGGGGTGGTGGTCTTTGGAATTGTAGAGTGTTGGGTGATTGAGTAAGGTCCAATGTTACAGTTGGGAACGGAGCAGAAGCTGAAATCGATGCCATGCTCGAGGAGCATGATGGAAGGATTGTCCTGGCAAGAAAATTGGGGTTCATAATCCCATCTGCACTGGCCATTGAACCTGAAAGCAACATGCTTGTAGCTGTTGTTGTTGTTGATGCCATTGCCATGGCAGCTGGAGGAAGTGGGTGATTGTGGTTGCCCTCGTAAGTTGTTATCAAGATTGTTCTATCTTCAGCGCAGCGTTGAACCTGATAATTGATCAACATGAATACTACTAATGAGTTCCAGGCCTTGAGAATCGAGAAATGAAATCTAAGCAACTAAAAAAATGGAAACATACTTGTTTACGGACAGGACAACCAACTGCCATTGTGCACCGGTAATAACCTCTAGGACAGGGATTTCCTTTTGCCATCTTTTGTCCGTATTTTCTCCACTGACATCCATCACTGATCTGTATCAATTCAACCGAACAATTTAACAACTTCATATCATTCGGATGATGATCACAATTAATGATTGAAGCAGTAACATACAATGGGAGCTTCCGATCGAGCTCGAACGGAAACACGAGCTTTCCTCATGGTGGCATCAGAAGATGGTTCGATCGGCTTAGAAAGATTCAACTTTTGAGCTTTGTTAGGACCCCAGCCATCAGATTCAGGGCTTTCTTGTGATGCAACTTCCACATTGTTTGGAGTAGACACTGAACGTGTTCTTTCTTCTGATGAAGGATGAGACATCTCATCTGCTTCGGCGGTGCCTGAATATGAGACTATATCCATAAATTGTGTAGGCTTTACCACCTCATTTTTCTTCACTTGGGATTTTATTTCTTGAATCTGAATCCATTAAACATATTTAAGTCACCGATTTGAATCAAAATTATACAGTTCCTATGATATATATAAAAGAAGAATAAAATTACCTCATGTTCTTGGGTGGTTTTGGGTCCTGGATTTCTTTGCTGCTTCATTAAGGTCACAAGGTGCATCTGGAGAGCGGTGTAGTTGTTGCTGACATGACTAATCATGTTCCTTAATATCTGATTTTCAGCATGCATACGTTTGAACTCCACTTGTAATTCCGCCAGCTGAATTAAAGTGGGAAAAAAATCATTCAGTGGACAAAGAGTGCACATATGCTAGCTTGCCGCCACCGATTCAAAAAGTTAAAGAACCAAAACAATAACAACTTTTCACTTTTAGAATCATCTTCATACCTCATTCTTTTCTATCTTATCTTCCGTGTCCAATGATACCCCGCCATCAACCGTGAGAAGATGCAACCCGGTCTACAGTTAGAACATAAACGAAACACACATCGTCATCAATAATTCAGTTCAACTCTAAACTCAAAGAAAATGGTATTAATGAGAAGAAGAAAAAACATTTACATTGACACCCAAATGATCGCCTCCTCCGTGAGAAGTTTTCTTCTTGGCGGTGACGGTAGTACTAGTTTTGTTATCATCATCAACCCTGTGTTTCTTATCAGAGAAAAAGTCAACCTCATCGACCACCAGGCGGTTGTTAGCAGAGGCAGGTGAGGAGGGAGAGGAAGTTCCACGGTGATCCTCCCTGTAACCAGCAAGGCTAACAGGGAACTGAAACATGTCCGGCTGTTGCTTTAACCTGAAGAAAGGTCCGGCGCTGGCGGAGTTGGTTTTGCTAGGGAAGAAACCAGATACAGGATCAGAATTACCGAGAGTAAGCCCCCATCCTTTGTCCATAAATATATTTACAAGTGTAAGAAGACCAAAGTTTTCGATCCAAAAAAGAAGAAAAGAAAGACAGGAGTTGAAACGTGAGATATGGGAAGGCGTTTGAAATGAAATGTATTGTGATTTGTGAAAGTCTTTCTACCGGTGCAATGGGATCGCTACTAAAAAGGGTTTGGAACGTAGACCGGGTTTAGCTACAACGTATTATAATTTTTGTATTTTTTTCTATGATTGTTACGTCAGATTGTGCGTCAGATCTGGCAAATTGACCCCTCTCACAAACCAAATATAGAAAGGACAAGGCAGCCAGTGAAATCACTGGAAAACGTACACATCGCTTTCCTTTTGCCATTATTTCATATCATTTGTTTTGAGTTTTGACCAATAAATATTAACAATTTTTTTAATATTATAAGATTATAAAATAATATCTATTCATAACTTTGTAATGTGTTAATAATGTACATATAATTCACGGGCATCGTTACTACACTTAAAATCTAAAAAGACTAATGTTTCTTACTATTAAAACTACTACATACTAACAATTTTAGAAATAAAGAACATATAGATCCAATGAATAAATGTTTTGGGTATGGCATTCTTTCTTTTAGAAAATGAAAAAAAATTAATTAAATAATTGGTGATCATTAAAATATGAATAAATATATGATCAATTGAATTAACTTATATTTTATTAATAACAATAATTGAATTTTGTAGAAGGGAAAATAAAAAGAATAGAGAGCGGTTGAGAGCAGAGGGTATTGGAAGTTTAGAATAAACAATAGGTTGCGTCAAGAAAGGGTTTGGACTTAGGGCGGTAGATGAGACGGGACAGATCGCGAGCTATTCGAGATCGACTCGATTAAGGCTCGATAAATACTCAGATCGAATGGACTCGACTCTAGTTCTTAACGAATCGAAATGAGCTACTTGTTATTCGACTCGAAAAGCTCGTGAGCAGCTCGAAAATATAATATATTAAGATTTTATTTTTTAAAATAAATTATTAATAATATTAATATTTATGTATTGATTTTTTTTTTAAAATACAATAAGATTTTCATGTATTTAAGGTTTAGGTTTGAGTTTGAGGCTTCAATCAAGTTAAGTTTAAGATTTGTTTTCATTTCGAGTATTTTCGAGCTGCTCACGAGCTTCAGTTCAGGATTTCGAGTTCAAGTCGAGTTTAAAAATTTTAAGCTCACGAGTTTTCGAGTTGACTCGACTCGACTCGTTTACACCCCTATTTGGACTCCCTACTTTTTAAATGTAAAGAAAAAAATATAAAGGAAAAGCAAATAAAGTAGGATAGCACATGGTTAAAATTACAACCAAATGTTATCCGACGGAAATGAGAGGATCTGTGATCGACCTTGTTCCAAAATTCAACCAAATGAGACTCGGGCATAGACTTAGGTTAAACTTCTCAAAAATTGAGATTTTATATTTGAATTTTATTATATTTAATTTATATATAATTTTATTGATAATTTTATTGCTATAGTGAGGACGTAGTATTGATATTTTTTAATGATTGAAATTTTAAGATTTAATATGAAAATTAGTATCCAAATTATCTCGTTTTTCTAAATATGTGTTTAACTTTATTTTTTTCAATATATGTTTCTAATGTTACAAATGTTATCATTTTAGGTGTCTTGATTGTGACCGCCGTTAAAAACTTCGTTAAGTGACACATATTACGTTTTGATAATTTTAATTTTTTTAAAAAAAATAAAAAAATATTTTTATTAAAAACCTAAAATTTTCAGAAATATAAAAAACAAAAACTAAAAACTAAAAACCCTAATTTCAATCCTATACCCACGTCGACTGCTGCTTTGGTTGTCATTATCGTTGACGAGCTACCCCGAACGTGCCTCTACCCAAAGATCATTTTCCCCTAAACAGTCACTCAAAAACACACACACTGACGATGATATTAACGGTAAATTCGACAAAACAACAAACTCGATTCAACTCATGTCGGCTCTGATTGTAGTGGCTCTTCATTGGGAAAATAGTGTTGGGAGGAGGCGTGGCCAAGTGGAGGTCCGATGGACAGTAACAATAGCAAGGTCGACGGTTGACATGGGTATATAGATTAGATTTAGGATTTTCAAAGTTTGGGTTTTTTAAGAAAATACCCATATTTAACGGCAATTATGGTTTGGGCACCTAAAATGATAATATTTGTAACGTTAGACACCTAGATTAATCGGGAAACAATTAGACACATATTTAAGAAAAGTAATACTTATTTTTATATTAAGCCATTTTTTAACTATTAAAAAGATACATGCACTTCAATAGTGTATTATAATTATTAGTTTTAATTGAATATTTTCTAAAATAGTTTGGGTGATTATAATGTATTATTTGTTTAGAATATTTTTTAGTTATCACTGACGCATACACACCTTACAAACGTAGTTATTTGAACTCGAGATCTTTAGGGATAACAACATTCTCTTTGCTTGTAACGCCCCTAAAACTGGTCTAGTAATTTTTTTGATGATCAGAATATTTATTTATTCTAATCATGTTTTCGAATAAAGATGTTTAAATTTGGAATAAATCCTAAGTAAATTAGGTTGATCTTGAAATGTTTGAAATAAGGACTAAAATGAAAGAATTGTAAAATTAGTATCTTTGAATGCAAGTAAAGTTAGGAAACCCTTTCATGTGCATATTTTTATTAAAGGGCCAAAGCTTTAGTTTTTCCAAAATCATGGAGTTGGTTATTCATCACCTATGTGTCATGAAATGAAATTTTATAACCATTTTTTATAGAAAATTTTATATTTATTATCAAATTTGGATTGTTTTTCATGTGAACACCAAGGGGAGAGAGAAAATATCTTACTTGTTTTCAACTTTTTCTTTTCACCATGGATGAATGTTCATCAAACATTTCAACCTTTAAAGATCAATTTCTTGCAATCTAACCATTAATTTTCAAATCCAAGTACATATTTGGTAAGCCATTGATCTTAGCTTTCTTTTGATACTAATTTTGTTATGTTTAGAGTCCAAGTGTTCTTGATTCATAAATCCTAAAAATAAGGATTTATGTAATTTAGTGGTCCTCCTTTGTAATAGAAGTGATTCTAAGTTTCATGGTGATTTTTCCATGATTTTTAGGACTTTGGAACATCAAAGTCTAACACCTTAAAGAGTAAGGTCTTCATGTTTGTTTGTAAATTGATATATTATGTTACCAATGTGTGATTGATAAATCATGTATTTTAACACCTTAAAGAGTAAGGTCTTCATGTTTGTTTGTAAATTGATATATTATGTTACCAATGTGTGATTGATAAATCATGTATTTGATTCTATGTTGAACATGTATTTGATTGTGGGAACTCTTAATAAGAGAGGAGAATCACGCTTATCAGATTAGTATGGTGATTTAAAAGTTTGTTGAGTGTAGTTGTTTGATTAATGTTGAGATGTTATTTGGATATAATTTTTTTATGATTTTACCATATGCATCAATGTTTGTTATTGGGTTCAATTAGAACAATGGATGACATGTTATATATTAAGATAATTTCCTTTGAACACTAATACACTTATGTTGTGTGGTATGTTAAGTCCAAGTAATAATCTTTGTAAGTTAAAATACGATATACAAACATGATTAAGTTATGTTATGACATGATAAGGAGCTAATGCTCAACTATGTTACTTGGTTGCCAAGATAAGTTTCGTATGTGATAAGTTAATTTGAATACAATTGGCATGCCATAAAGTCCATATGAGCTCAAGTTAGGGTTGGATTACAATCCTTATTTGATGACAGTAGGAGGGATGTTGTTGTTGGTCATTGGCGACGGTTTGGAGAGATAGATCATTTTCTGTTAACTAGTTAAAATTATACTAAATTTAATCTCATTTGATATTTATGATATTCAAACTTAAAATCTTAAAAAAACAATAATTCTTTTAACACCGATTTTTTTAACACCGATTTTTCTATATTCATGTCATACCAACCAAATTTAAAAATGCCATACAAAACTCGAATGAATTAATTGCACAAATAAGTCATTTGATCTCAAAGCCAATTCAACCATTTTTACAGATTAGGTCTCGTATGACAGGCGACCGGGTGCAGCCGTGGCTTGGTCTGTCGTCGGCCTGGCCCCATGTTGCATCACCCTCCCACGTTTCAATACGTTGACTGTTTACCGGTAGGAAAAAGTCATTTACAATTTGACTAAAAAATCTGCTATATTACATGTAGTTTTTCTTTTTCATTTCCACTCTAATTTTTTAATTTATTTTATAAAAAATATGTTATTTATAAATTTATTATATATTTAATCTAATTATTAGATTGAGAAAAAATAATATAATTTTTGATTAAATAAATAATCATTAGTTGTTATAATATTGACATGATAACTTATGATGCTAATGTGACAGTCTATGATAGAGATAAAATTATGTTCCGTCTAAGGGTCATTGCTCCCTCTAATTTTTTATTATTAAAATAATATATGGTTAAATTTTAAATCAGGGTTTTCAATTTTAGTTTATTTTGATTTTATCCCTTTATTTTTCATGATTAATTATACTTCTTTCCCCTCACTTTTTATAGTTATTATAGTTTTCTCCTTTTAGTTGGAATATTAACTTCGTTCCTGATCTATGATCATCAAATTAAGACAATCAACATTCAAATGATCATAATTTAATAAAACGAAAACATAAGTGACCGAAATTATTTTTTAAAACTTGATAAAATGAAGTACATAAAATATTAAATAAAAGTGACTAATCCTATAATCTAATCATATATCACAAGAAAAGAAAGATACATTCTATTTGTTTTGTTTTGTATTTTTTTTGGGTTTATCGCAGTCCAAAATATTGGATAAGGAGTCAAAGTTTGTAGGTAATAAAATACCCTTGTGCTTCAAAGATCGACAACGACAACCCACGTTAGTGATCTCGGACCGAAACTTTCTCGGTCCACTTTTGCAGCTTTTAAATATATGTATTTAATATAATCTAAAATAGTTTTAAATACAAGCAATTTATTTATTGTATATATAATCAAAGAGGAAGCAACAATTATTTATGAGGGATCAACAGTGAGTTA